AAAAAGAAATGATTTGGGATAAATCGCGCCAGGTATTCATAAGTACATGAATTATGAAATAACGATGCGTTGGCCTGTACTAAAACACCAGCCAGCAGTCTCAGCTCCCTTGCCCTGCCATAGCAAGATGAAGCGCATCGAGCTTCATTTCAGAGGTGTTGCTGTGAAAATCTTTCCAGGTTTGGTCGCACAACCGCATCAGGCAGGTGCTCAGGTGGGGCTTACACCTCTCGTGGCTCTACGCGGGAAGGCTGTGAGCTGTTCCTGTTGCAAGGACAACGCAGACGGGACACATACTGTGCATGCCACTGAAATGTTGCACCCCTTCTTAGCTCCAGGTCACAGACCACTGAGCTAGAGGCAGGGACAGGTCTACATGGGGGAAGAGAAAGAGTTTCTTATCCAGGTTGCTCCCAGCTGCTCTGTTACGACCAAAAGCAGCAAGCTGCTTGTATATTCTGCTGTCAGTGGCTTTCTGAAACACCCAAGGAAGGAATAAATTAAATGCTTTTCTTCTTCAGTGCAAAGATACTGCAATGTCTTGGAGAACCTGTCTATTTAAATTTTACAAATTACAGTTGCTATTCTGCACCTCATGTATTGAGAATGTATTTTTCCCGTATTTGCCCTGTTAGAAAAAAAGTGGTGCTTAGCGATCTTTTCTTTTGATGAGACATTTGGGATGCTATACGACAGCGCTGTGATTAAGGTGTAGGCCCTCAGCTCTGACTGTGATCTGTAGCAGAACAGAAGTCAGGGTTGGGAATCACTTAATGAGCATTTTTTGGTAACCGTACTGATGTAAGCAACTCTAGCCTCCCACTCAAAAGTTCATGCCATCTCTTCGTAAGTACTGCCGAGCTGCAAAGTGCATCTGGTTAGGACTGACTCGAGTTAAAAGTAGTTGGTGTTTTCTGTTGGGGTCTTATCTGGTTCACCATCATTCTCCATCTCTTACAGTTCCCACAAAAAAAAATCCCAACAAACAACCAAACCCAAAAACCAGACAACATAATGAACTGGTAGAATGTAGGAGTCAGGAACAAGTTTCAGGGGTGGCTCGTGTGAGAAGTACAGGTTAAAAAATGCTCTGCCTGTCATCTTGATACAGCCCTTTATAATTACAGGTCCAGGGAAGGATTCAGGGAGGAAAAACTATCAAAACGGGGGGAGGGGGTAGTGGTTTTGATGATAATTGAACAGCAAAGAACTACTGACCATGAATGGAAGCTCTTGGTATTCCAGAGAGGTGGCAGGTTGAAAGGGGAGGTCTCCAAGTTAGTTAGAGGACTGATCCCAAAATTCCAAAAATCACCAGTGAAGAGGAAACAGAGGTGGTGTGTGGTAAATAGTGATTTGCTGGAAGCTGGACTTTTATTTTCTGTTTGTATGTAGGGCTGTGGAGTTCTGTGATCTACAGTAATACCAGTAATAGGATCATACTAGCAAAAATACTGGTACTGGTGTACCTAAACAGTGTTCTGATTCTTTTTCAAAATCTGTGTCTGTTTTAATCTTTGGTCATCTATCTCTCCTAATGTTAAAGCATTCATAGATGTCTACAGATATGTTACTTAAGCCCAACATTTATCTGTTGCTTGCTGAATGTTCAGTAAGTTTCCTAGTTCAGTTTGCAGAAATACGATCTGTGAGTAGTTACATCTGAAATAGATGGAAGCTGTGATTTCCCTACACAAGGTGCTGTAGAACGTCAGATGTGTTGAAAGTCAGGTCTGCATTATTTTCAGCTGATCATCCAGGACTGTTAAAACTGCTTTGCCTTAATTTCAGTTCCCAATTTAAGCAAAAACGTCATTTACTTACATGGATTATGTGAAGGTAAGTTAAAGTTTGAAACACTCGGATGCAGTAGAAATGGAAAACATCTTCAAAAGCTAGGATTTTACCTGTGTCTGGTAAATGGAGATGGCTTTCAAAGAACACAGATAAACAAGGCATCGAACTGTTGATTATTCATCCCATGTGGTGTATGAAACAACAGCCCCCTGCAAAAAGAGTATATGTTGTGTAATTAAAACGATCTTGGGCTGCATGTTGTTAACGACTGCCAGTGTGTCTTGAGTCTGTAGGAGGTTACAGACCTAGTTAAAACTGATGGGTGAATTCAGTGTTTGTTTTGTTGTCTTTCAAAGCAAGATAGCCTCTGTGATTGTAAAGGAAGCATAGAGAACATGAAGAGGTTAAAACTGCATACAAAAACCCATCCTTTTGCGATTGATTGCGACAACTCATACCCAGCTGGGATGACTCCCCTTAGACTGCGCAGTTACTCAATACTATGCAGAGTTAGTCTGGGTTTTGTTGCACTTGTGAACACAGATATGAACAGAAAGTGTGGTATGTTGCTGAGTGGTGCTGCCCAGAGCAGGTATGTCACTCTACTGCGAGCAGAGTCGCTTTCACATGAGTCAGATCAACAGCCTGGTGAATCTAAACTGAAGTAAAGGAACCGATTCTCCATGGGGGATATTGCTGAAGGTGGGGGTGATGATAATTCAGACCAGAATAATCTGTTAAAGTGGATGAGGAGGAGGAGACTGCAAAAGCCTAAGCTGAAAAGCAGTTATTGGGCATGAGGGAAATGAGCAGGAGGTCTTTCTGGGGACTGTGATCAGTTTGTGGACATAATCTGTGCAATATAGTAATTGATGAGACAGAGATATGAATTTGACGTGCATCCATGAAATGACACTACGTTGAAAGGTATTATGAGTAATGATCTTCTTGACTAGAGAGAGAAACGGAATAAAATTTAACAGCATAAAGTTAAAAATCAAGCACTGGCAGAAAACCTTGGCTATGAACTCATTAGCTAGGGTAAATGAGGAGGAAAAAGGTCTCTTTTAGGGACACTAAGGTTTCTTGAAGACCTCACAATACCTGATTGCCAGAATGGTTAAGCCAACAGTCAGACAGTCACGGATCTGCAGGAGAGAGGCATTTCTCTTTTTTTTCTAGAACGAACTAGACATCTATCATGTGTTTGCCTGGACTTGATCCCTAAAGGAGTCCTTTCTGTTACCATGCCTTTGTTTTTCCCCTCCCAAATTATAAATAATAAAACAAAGGCCAGAGACTGTGTTCCTTTCCCATGAAGCAATTAGGAAATTGAATTTGAAAGAGAGGGAGTTTCAAAGAGAAAAATTGTCAACCGGTAGTCATTTGAAACAGCGGCGACACTGCACTGAAAACAGCACAGAGGGGGAAAAAAAAAAATCAAACTCAGAAACAAGACCCAGAGACTTTTCAAGAAAGCCACTAAACTAAAAATACTTTGGAAGGAAGGGGCCTGGGATGTGCTGGGAATGTGAGATAAGCAGGACAGCCAGCTGATGAAGGAGGCACCGACCTGGGCGAGTGGCTCCATGAGCATCTGTCTGCAGCATGGAGATGAGAAAAGCTGTTCTCACCGAGGGCTGCAGCCTGCATGACAAAGCATGAAATTTTCAGTGCTGTCAGTACGAAAATACTATTTTTTTTTTTTAATTTAGAGGCAAAAAACGTAACTCAAAAGAACTGTATTGAAGATGGGAGAAGTTATTTTAAGACTTCATCATCATATCTAAAGAGGAGCACACCAAGGGAACCAAATATTTGTCGTGTCTATGACAAGTGATCATGGTCTGAAGACAGTTCTTATCACAGTAACATAAATACTGCTTTAACAAGGCTTATTTCAAATGGCTGAAAAAAATGTCAAGTCTCATCAACTCAAAAAAACTGAACAGAAAAGCTGAATGAAAATATTATGAATGAAACCATTTTGAACCCCAAAATGCAAGCTTCTGATGTATAATACTGTAGCTTAGTGGGAACAGGGGAGAAGCTCTTAAGGTCATAGATACAAACACAGAATAAACAGACAAAAAGGGAATTTGGTAATGGATACCAAGGAAACTAGGAATTATTTGAAACTTGGGCGACAAAAGAGTCAAAACATAAAAGGGGAAAAGCTGCAATATGTAGTATTTTTTATTCCCATTCTCTGCAATACATTCTTCATGGTGAGCTCTTTGTTGTCTTAGATTTTATTTGTTTCTATTGATTTTATTTTTTTTTTTTTTGTCTTTTTAAAAGCTGCCTGCAAAACTTCAACTGGCACAAAGACACTTGAAGCAGAAAGCAAGATAGGACAAGAAATTTGGAATGACAGAAGGTGCCTTGTCTTTTTTTCCCATTTTTTTTATACCACCCGCTCACAATTAAAACTTTATCTCCTCCAGATGACACACAGAAGGTGGGCAGGATTTTAGAAGCAGCTGATGGATGATTGTAGCAAGTAGGATGTCTGATTTTAATAGCTATCCTGCAATGCAACTTTCATAAGCAGTTGTTAAATCCTCCTGTGGTTCAGCACTGGTAGAACACCACAGCCCTTTTTTTTCCGAAGTACCTACGTTTCTGCTTTCAGCACCTGATGGTGTGAAGCGTTAACGTCTTTAGTTCTCAGTCAGGTTGCTGCTGGTTAAGAGCACGTTAAAACTCATAAGTGCAATTCGCAACAGGGGCACCCAAGTATGGCAAAACCGATCACTTTCATTTTACATGGGTTGGATTTACCTTTGCGATACATGTCAGGTGGTCTGTTTGTTCTACTTGAGCTTTACACCGAGTCCTGAAATTGAAGAATGTGATCTGGTTTATGAATTCTTTGCTGTGACAAAAAGATGCAAAGGCCACCCAGGTAGAGAAAAAAAAATCACATTAAAAAAATGCATTCTACTTCTGCTCTGTCGTACTGCCCCTCTCGTGTTACCTACTTTATGAAAATTGTGAGATGATACTTAATGCCAAGCAATGGGTCTGCACAATAGAGGCCTCACTCCTGAGCAACTTCAACCCAGCTCTTGTCAGACACAGAACTGGAAAACAACTCAATTATTTAAAACTTAAAAATTAAACTTTTCTTTTTTTTTTTTTTTTTTTTTTTTCCAGAGGTCAAAAATTAATAAAAATAGGCACAGCCTTGTCATCTAGCAGTTGCATGCAAGAATAGCAACCTTTAGGATGTGTGATTCTTGGGAAAAGTTATCCTGTGTCTTTTGGGACACAAAAATTCCTTCTGAGGCTAAGCCCAAAAGAAAAGATAGTGGGAGAAAAAAAAAAATCTCTTTAGAATTCCCTTTGTAGTTTCTTTTCATTTGTTCTTTTGGCTTGACATCGATGGAATAGGCTTTTTGTGTACTGTGTATAGTGCATAAATACAGAGAATGCATTTCATGAAAAATAAAAATGTTAGCTTTCCTGACAAAGATGATGTGTTACCTCTTGAGAAGCACTTTTCACAAGAATTAAATTAGAAACTTAAAAAAAAAAATATGTGAAATACTGAAAACTCATGAAAAACCAACATTATTCTTGAGTGCTCTGCAAGGCTGAAAAACCTCTCTTTCTTTTGGCTTGAAAGTTTTCTTTAATTCAAAATTCTTATTCAGCTTGTTGTTTACACCCAGAATCTGTTTCTTATGTCTTATTCCTGGATAATTTATTTTGGTTCCTGCTATTGTGCCAAAAGTATGATACACAAATATTCTCAAATTTGTCTTCAGCAGTTTTTGCTGAAACTCGAACATACATAAATCTGTCGTGACATTCACTCTTATGCTTCATTATATGTTCTCGAGAGTTTTTACAGTCTGTTATGTCTTTGTTTTTCACTTACTGCTTTTGCATTTGTTGTAAAGATTAAATATATATGATCTATATTTCAAGTTACCACTCCTAATTCTTTGGTCCTGTATATAGTGGTTCAAAAAAATGCCAGACTGATATGAAAAGTTTTGGTGGAATGAAACAAAGATTGAAAGCAATGCTATTGACAGAACTTTATGGTCTGTGTTCTACTATTTACTCAGTAGATATATGGGTTTATGATGTAAACCTTGCAAAGTTATTTCACTGCTGTTACATGTGCAAACAATTTAATTGTACTTTGAATTTTGAAATATTGGATCTCAATATATGATTACATGATTTATTTTTGCAAGAGCGTACTTAGCATACCTATAATTTTTCTGTTCCAAACTATCAATCCCTCAACTCCACAAATGATTTTTGAATAAATTATGCATGTTAGAGCAGATGACTGCTCCAGGGTATTATATAACTTTTTTAAAAATTGTACAACTGTCATCTAAACAATTTGTGTACACATAAAATGGAAAAGAAATACATGTACCTTTTCTGTTATGTAGTTTAAGTGCATCTTTTGGAACTCAAGCTGGAAAAATGAGATCCCTAAAAAGGCACAGTACATAAGGTGCCAGCATTCTTCTGTTCATCCCACTTCTAACCACAGAAGGAATACCGTGGTTATCAGGGAGAGACCTGACAAAGCTGGACTAAGAAATCCGGTTGATGATCGACCATTTTAGTAGAGAGATTTAGACTGAATTAATTCCTATCCTGCCTATTGCCATGATAGACACTTTTTACAAAGACTAAACTCACAAATTACTGCTGCTACTGGCAGTCACAGTGACTTTATCAATGCCCAAACTACTTAAGCAGATTGTAACTGTCATGTATTGACCAATCATCACTCCAGATGGAAAGAAACCAAACCAGCAACCAAAGCAATAGAATTAACAACATAAGCATAATAAAAAGCAAAAATATCTCTTCTTCTTTAAACAAAACCAAGCTACCAAGCTCCTGCAAAATAACCAGGTGTGTCCCACCTTGAAGCTTCTCAGATTGGAGGTCTGCCTAAATGTCACGGAGTGTAGGGTTAAAATGCAAAAGGTTTAACCAAAAAGTGTCTCCCTGCTGGGCCTGGAGAACCACTCACTCATACTGCATGCTCTCTGAGACAGTTAATGGCTGCGTGTGTATTTTGTACGCTGTGTGTGTATATATTGTGTCAGGTGTGGTCGCAGCCGCATCAAGCAAACGGCAGAAGCGATCATAAAACTTGACGGCTGAGCCAACACTGGGGAAGGGTGGGAAGGGGAGGCAATGAAGATGAAAGGGTTGCAGGACTAGTCAGTTTTGGTTCACAAATCCAAGAACCACACCAGGCATACACAGCACCTTCAAAATTAAACCACATTTTTTGACTCTTTAGCTTGGAGGTGTCTGCGCACTGATGCCAGAGCCTGGCAGAGGTACATCTTGCTCAGTAACGCCGATCAGGGACCTGGATAGTTGTTGGAAATGAAGAACAGTCTACCACGTTCTGGTCCATTCTTTGTCTGGAGAGAAGAGGAGGCCAGATGATTACCATTACACATTTGCGTTGCATTAATGCAAGAACCTCCATCAATCTGTCCATTCATAAAGTGGATGGGCGTGTGTGAGGTTGGGGAGCCTTAACTGGGATAGAAACTGATGGTGTTTGAAGAGACCTCATCCATTTGCTTCTGAAGAAAGTCTTCACAGCACATGCTCATTCCTGAACTCAATACATACCTGCAGGTAGCATTCCTGCCAAGACTATTTCATTCCCAAAGCCACATCTGGTTTACTGTGGAAAGTAATCTGTTTGCTAATCCATACGCCAGAACAAAAACCACCTGCCATTTCAACTGCGTACCTCCCCAATATTCGTTCCATTCTCTAGAGGGAAACATAATCTCAATCTACATAATAAAGCCCATTTAAGACATGTTTATTATATGGAATGCAAGGTACCGATAAAGAGTCCAGAACAGAGTCAAATGACTCCTTAAAGATGTTATTTCTGGAATGTACAGAGAGGTGAAAGTCTAAGTGAAAACAGCTACTGCGTTTCTTGAATGATAACCTCGCAGCTGGTTGGTTTGAATTTTACATTTATAAAATTCTGGGTTCTCTATCAGGTTTGAGAAGGCATAGGCTTTATTGATATGTAAATAAGTGTTTGTAGGTTGTGAAAACAGATGTGCTGTGGATTTCCAAGTGTAAATTAAAAGTTCAGAGAACTTAAAGGAAATAAAACCTGGGGCAAAATGCATTAGTTTAAGTAAAAAACAGCAATGCATGCAAATAGCTTCCACTATTCCAGGTAACACAGGTAACTTAGAACAATGGGAAAGCACAGATATTACAAAATGCATGTGGAACGTTAAGAGCTTAAGTCTTCAGATAACCCTAAACCTGAAATAATTACCCACATAGGACCTACACTGCTTTGTGTCTGTATGACCATCTAGAAAATGAATTATCTCCCCATATATAACTGAGTTCCAGCAATACCCACACTAAGATATAACAAACATTAACCAATAAGTTTTTCAAGGATGTCTGAAAGTCAGTATTGAGGTGGAATACAAAACACAGTCAGGATGACACATGAAGAGCTATGTGATTCTATTTCTTGATGGACACCAAATATCCAAACGTTATTAGTCTTTTTACATAGACAACACAGATTATGGGACAAAAAAATAAAGTAGTTGGATATCGTGTAATTATAAATTTCTGAAAATTGTTGTGTAACCATATTTCTGTCCTCTAGTGAACTCATCTAGGGACATAATTTATATGATCATGTCATTAACAGTTGTCTTAAGAAACACACATGGGGGTGCTTTGGTAATCATTTATCAGGTGTTTTCTAATGACTGAGTGCTTGTTTTACAGCAGTAATTTTCATCAATGTATTTATTTATCGGGAGAGCAGAAAAGAGATTATTTTTCAGAAAAAAAAAACTGTCCTGAAAGGGAAAAGACAAAATTATGTGCTGTTGCTGCAAACCTCCACCATGAACAAAGTTTGAAACCGGAGTATGTCGTGGCAGACATGGGATGCTCTTTGAGTCAGTAACTGTAGAAGATGATACCTGTTGAATATGATCACCATTATGCGGCTCTTGGCCTCATTTCTAGAAGGAGAAGGGATGTGACTCAGGGCTGTGTAGACACCAAAGCTGTTGGAGCTTGGATCAATTTACTGCAGAAACTGGATAATGAGCTATTTTAACATTAAAACGCTTTCTTCAGTGGGAGACACTATAAAGTCTCTCCTCGGAGATGGCTGCAACCTACTCACAGCTGAAATTTTTTCACAGAATCACAGATGTTGTCATGGATCTAAAGGGCTTGATCTGGTAGTCATCAAATTTGCACTAGCCATGACTGGAGTGGCTCCTTGTCAGCTTAGGGATAGCTGTCTACTAAATTTAGACAAAGAATCTTAACTCAGATGATCACTTTATGTCATTAGTACTTGGTAATTGCCAGTTCTTCCTGAGACGCTTCTTACAGAATCACTTTTTCAGCAAAAAGAAAAAAGGGTTTGGATTTATTTTTGCCTGCTTGCATGATTCCTTGCTTTCTAGAGTGTTTTTTTGCCACCTCTATATCATTGTTTCGCTTGCTGCAGCAACAGCTAGCAGTCAGTTCCCAAATGCTGTAGCTAGAGAGGATTAATCTGGTTCCTCCATCATTTTACTGAGGGGAATTACAAGGCCCTCAGTGATACCTGCTCAAGGCCATGCACGCTTTTCTTCTACTGCCTGCCTGGCAACATCAGTCGGCTCAGCCTGCTTCCCAAGTGTTGGGAGTCCAAAGGTAGAGCAAAAAGCGAGCTCATCCTTGCCCACTTCCTGGGACTTACACTTAAAATAGTTTTAGAGCCTCTGCTTCCACTCATACCACTGTTTACAGCATGAACTTAGTACAGAGAAGTGGCTCTGCACCAGCCAGGACCTCCTCAAGATCTGTATGCTCGCTTAGAAATCTCCCCGTTGCCATCAAGTTACTCTCTCATTTCATGCCTAATTGGGCAATGGGTCTAATTCCTCGGTCTTTTGACTATTGCCTTGGAAGTTTGAATAGTGTCTGTCACTAAAAATGATTGCGCATATTTTTAAGGAGTTCCATAAAATAGTTTTATATCAGCATATAATTGGTATCCCAGCTGAGAGGGAAATGGAATATTTCTGTCAGAGGAAGCTAATTGGAAGAAGCCAGCCTCATGCCTACCTCGCACTGCTGTGAGGATGTAGAGATGAATCAGAGAACATCCATTTGCCGCCGCGCATATTTCCCGAACAAATAGCTTTGTTGCCTGCGGTCTCTACAAAAGCCCTCTCCTGGAATAAAGCATGATCTACGGGACACTGTTTGTCAGGGCAGCAGTCACTAAAAGGCAGGGTTATGTCTCAATGCCTATCTTTTCGAAAATGCTCTCTCTCTCTCCTGCCTTTCTGAGTTTCATTACTATTAACGCCATCTCAATTTTGCCCTGCTTCTGATTTTATTAACTACCTTTCAAAAGCAGCAAGATGTTAAGATTTGGAGCACTCTGAACTGGATGCTAAACTAATGTAATTAGAGATATTCCATGCCATGCAGTCTCCCATTTAAGCCTGTTTCGTAAAAAAGGCTAAGCATAAAGAAATGTTAAATGAGAATTAGGCGTAAGCATTAGTGATAATGCACAGTTACCTAGTTTGTGCTATCTGATCCAATTCATTGCTATAAATATAATAATTTCCTTTTAAGCTAATTCAGCTGAGCCAATGAGGCCAGACTCAACAGACTTTAATCCTTTTTTTTTTTACTACCTTTCCAGGAGCAGTTAAAATGGCCAGAATGCAAGTGGTCAGGCAACACAGAGCCCACACGGCAGCCAGCAAATCTGGCTCCTGTTGCCTTCTTTTATTGAGGCTAAATGTAAATGTGAGACATTCTTGGATCAACAAGTAGTGACAAAGAGCCAGGACATAAAATACAAAAGCAAAACTCTGCAGCTTTATGAACCCATCACTCTCCAGAATGAAATTAATCTTAGAATCGGCAGAACTTTTTTTTTGGTAAGAATATAGAACTATTGTTTTATTAAGAAAAGCCAAAGAAAGCAGCAATCTGTTATACAAGTACTCCTAATTTTACACACCTTACAATGTAAAAAAGATCAGCTCTTTCAAGTGTCTTTCATTTCTCTTCAATTAAGGGTTTAAGTTTGAAGTAAGCAGCCTTGATAAATTAATGGTATGTTATTTAGCAATCTTAGTTATACAACTCTTATTATTGCTGCAATTTTATTGAACAAATGTGAATTTTGCAAAAGTATCTATCCAGCATAACTGATGTTGCCAAGACGATGTTTCTTTTATACCCTGAAGGTCAGCTAATAGGATCGCTACACTGCCACCAGACCGAGCCGTGCTATTTCTCAGTCAGGATTGAGGGACAAGTTCAGTTTCAAACACACATTACCTTACATTCAGATACTCTAAAAGACATATACAGAGATAGGTTTGGGTAAGAAAAACGTCCAAATAAAATACTCTGCAAAGATTCAGCTTTTATTCAGGCTAGTTATTCTGTCTCGTCACCTCCACACTGTTAAAATTATAAATATACTTTTGCTAAGAAAGACAAGATTGTCCTAGTGCAACCCAGTGGGTTACTGCTGAATTAATTTGGCAGGGAGGAAGAGGCATAAAGAATTTTTTTTTTTTTTTAACATGACTATTTACAGATTATTCCAGAACCAGGTGTGTTGTGAATTTAAAGGATAATAACCAGTTTGGAATAACTCCCCGTATGGACATTCCCACTGCAGAGTAAGTGAGGGGTTTTTATTGTGGGTTAGCTCATTTCACTTGCAACGTTTATCCTATTCAGAATAAATGTTTCCCAGAAGGGGAGCTTTTTCAAAAAAAAGTATTTCAGTCAGCTTCACCACATAGACAGGAATTCACTTTGTGCGGCTATACAAAAAAGTTAATTATGCACAATAGATTTTGATAAAATAAGGAAGGATATTCTAAACTCCAGCTTCCACGTACATGAGCACATTATTAGTATGGCTTGGAGCACGTGTGCCTTATCTGTCAGAATACTGTACCTGCCATCATAGGCAATCCCTGTAGCCATGTTTGAAGCCTTAAGACCACAACTGATCTTCAAAGGTGCAATACAAAGCAAGGAAAAATTGTTTTTACACTTCCTCACTTCTCTATGATCTGAAACGACTATATCAGCAGCAGAGGAAATTCTGTTTTATTCTTTAAATACTATTTTTAGCATTTTTGAAGCACCAGCGCCTCACAGCCCTTTTGTTGATGCGGTGTTGTAACAAGATCTTTGGAGATTCGTAAGATGAAGTGGTCTCCGTTTTCATTTTAAGTGGTCTGATATTTTACATGCATGACGAAAAAAAGCAATTAAAAGGAGGAAAAACTGCCTTTCGGATTAGGCTCTACAGCAGTGTTAGTGTTACGGTTACCCATGACGCTGCTGAAATCTTTAGGAAAAAAATGTGTCTTCCTCCTATTCAAGTGGCCTGAGTTATGTCCATGAGAGCATCTACGAGAAGCTGTGGTGGGAGCAGGAATAGCTGCAGCTCAGATTGCAAGATCTTGCCAGGGTCCTTCATCAGGCAGAGGAAATGGTTCCCTTGGACTTCCAGGGCAAGAAACAAATAGAAAAAATGATGGATTATTTCTGTAGAGCTAAGGAAATACTAACCACACCTTCTGTATAAAAAATACTGTCACAATAGCCACCTGTCTAACCCAGCTATTTCAGTCTTTGATGAAGAACTTTTATGGAAAAAACATTTAGTATTTGGAAAATCTGAATATCGGACAGGGCTTACTTTGAAAATTGAATTTTTACTACATTTATCCAAAATAAATATTGTATATTGTAGGCCTTTGAGCCTATCACTGCCTGTGAATAATTCTTTTAAATAAAAAGATGCTTCTCAAATCTTTTAAAAGCTGCTAACCAGTTTATCTGTAATGTGTCTTTTAAGCCATAACTGGATGTTAAATTAGGATTCGCGAGGGCAATAAAGCCGATGCAGTTTTGCTTGGGAATAACGGCCAAGCATACACATCCTGGAGCAGCTCAAAAAGGACTTCAGACCTATGACCCGTAGCTGTCCTTTTTAATCCATTTTGGGTGGTTTAATGGCAGGACTAACTAGAACACAAACACCAAGGGAGAGAAAAGGTCCTTGAGTGACGCTAACAGGGGGCAGGCTGGCGCTGGCTCCAAAACGGCCGATGGAAGGGTAGCACGGGTGTTTGCTTAGCACAAGCCCAAAGTCGCATTATTTTCAGAGTGAGTTTTAGACTTTTAAAACAGCTCTTGGTTTGTCATTCAGGTTTTATGCCTCCGCAGTTTCGAGATACACCCTCCTTGTTTTGTGACACTGACATTTTCATATATTGTTGCTCGCCTTATGCATGTGTGAACAATTGCTGCCTGGATGGGGTGACTAGACAATAACAGGGGAACATTCTTCAGTTTAAAACTCCTACTCAAGATATATATTCCTGCGCTTTCTAGTCCTGTCAGTTATAACTAAGCCATTAAGTTAATCATGTTGAATTCAGAAAAAGGTGCTACCCAAAACCTGTCAAGGTAATTATTCTTCTTTATCCTCTGAGGTAGGAGTGCTCTGTGTCAAATAAACATTTTTTAAGTGTTCCACCATAACTTTCTCCTCGTCTTCAAGATCTGCACCTTCTTTCATCTCCCACCTGAAAGAAAAAGAACTTTTTATTATTTTTTTTTTTTAAATCAGTTTTTAGAACAAGAAAGTCAATACAAAACTTCATTACTAGGAATTCATTGCCCCCCCGCAGTGGTGGGGTACGGTAGTTGAGATTACTGAATCATACAAAATACAGCCCCCAATAATCTTGACCCACACAACTGGCACGGCCACGAGGCAATTGACACAAGTGGTAAAAACTATCACAAAAATTATCACGAAACCTTATTCATATTTGTTGTGATAGTACTTTATTTTTTCTGTTTTGTACCAGACATGTTGGTGGAGGTGGAGGCCTTGTAAAACTTAGCAGAGAAAAAGTGGAAGAGCTAAGAAGTGTTTTGGAAGGTAAGTAGATGCTCTCAACACTGTGTAAGTTTGCAGTGAAAACTCAAACACCGCATGATGTCCAACCTAAATATTTAACGTGAATGGTCATCGTTCTCTTGCAGTGATGATACTACATCACAAAATACCACAAAACTGACTGGCTTTTCGTTTCCTTAACCATCGGGTGTACCTATCACACCAAGAAATAAACGACATATCACATTCTTCCCTTTCTCCATGTGAATACTCAATTCTAGTTTGGGATAAAGTCCTAATACCACTGAAACTGGAAAACCGGAAAAGCGAAACACTATGAAGATGATTTTGCTTTTCTCTAGCAGTTAATTAAATATAAAACATGAAGAGTCACACAGTATTCCCTTGCAGAAAATCAGGATAATAAATGCAGAAATAGTGCCGATACATAGTCAGCTAAACTTTGTATCACTCTAATTATGCCTACATAATGCCCAGCAGTGTGGCTCTATCTCTTTTGACAAATTTTGTGGATATTTAAGAGTTTGATACCCCTTTAATATTAATCTCTTTCTGTTCTAAGTAGATAATAAAAGTGTAGGCTTCCAGTTCAGACCAGCTGAAGACAAAAGGTAAAGCATGAATACTGAATACTGAAATGATATTTTCAAGTATTAAATCCCATAGATTATAAATGACCCATAGGATGATCCCGTAAAGCACAAGGCATGTAGAGGAGCAGCAGAACAAAGGCTGCTTTTAGGAATCTAATGTCAGGAGCAATACTTTAATCCTGTCCCCACACTTGTTAGGTCCTCATTCAGACTGTGAAAAGCAGAAGGCACACACGGGTCTAGACCGGTGAATAAATCAAATGTAATACAGAATGGTGGGAAGAGTATTTGCATTCATCGTATTTGCAAAAAGCAAACAATCGCTATTGGCAATAGAGCATGGTGTGCGCTTGCAGCTATGTTTAAAAGCTGACTAAAACCGGAACAAGGGCTCTGTAGTACAATCTGATTTGTTAAAAGACAGTTAGGAAAAAAATATATGCATTGAACTTGTATAAATTAGCATATATACATCATACCTTTACCTTAAAAACTGAATCTGACAGCCCACATTACTGCCTGGAGTGAAGAAGTATCAGAACAAGCAAAGCATGCGATGAATAAAATTACAAACACCGTATGGCCACGATCAAAGTTTTGCAATAATTGACTTCCCTATTACTCCACTCATATATGACTACCATCATACTTAACCTTATCTGAACGTTAACATTAGGTGCAGTTAATTGCCATTATGTCTGTCTGCTTCATTCTCCGGTTTATGACACGGTTGTAAAACCTGCCTACGTGAACCCTCAGCACCAGTGAGGTTTGGAAGCATCCCGGGTGAATGCTGTTGAACAGGGTGACTGCTTTCCCTCTTTCCTTTTGCTAATATGCCAAAGAGCCTCTTTCTTCACACCTAGAAAGAAGTCGTGCAAGCCTTAATTTGAATTTATGGTCCTCAGAGTCATTCTGAAACACCACTCTACCGGCCGAATTGATTCATTTTAATTGATTTGATTTGTTGCATATTTTCAAGCAGAGGAGCTGTTTGCTTAGAAGGACGACGACAGAAGAAGCTAAATGGAATACATTCCAAACAGTTATTGCTGGAGGTATAACACAGAAATCTACCAGTCTTGGCTAATGGAAGCTTAACAATAAATCAGCAGATTCCTTTTAAAGACAGTGACTTCATACTTGTCAGCACATTTCATTGAATCTTAAACGTTAGTGTTGGTAAAAATCTTCAATGTCATCCAGTTTGGACATTCTTTAGTGTTCACTTTATAACAAGTTATTACTAATACATTACATTATCATTTTATCAAAAAGTAGTCTATTTTTAAAGCATTTAAGCAGGTCCAATGAGGATAAGAACGTCTTCTATGCATTCGCTTAACGGTATCCATGAATTAAAGATCTATGAAATGAGCTCGACAAACACCTGGTCCCTCATCTAATTTAGAAATTTTTCCACTCTTATGCTTAAAGTCTGGGGACAATACTGTTTGGGTTTTTTTTTTTTTAAAGACTGCTGGACCGTAAGCAAGAAGGTCACAGCATATCTTTGCTGTTCTAAACAGGATGAGAAATCAGGTGTTTGTGTTCGAGTGGAAAAAGAGTCAACATTTACTATTCAAAAATTTGTCCAAAATGGAACATGTTTTTACTAGCATATCCAAAATGTGTGACAATTGTTTTGGCAATAGTAATTGGTACAAATCCAACTAGCCAGTTCAAGTAATGTGAATGTGAATGAAATTACCATCATGAATTACTTTCAAAATACAAGCTTCATCAGTTGAACTGCCAACTCGCACAACTCTTGTGGTTTCAAATTATTAGTAATGTAGCTCTTAGGGAAAATTTCCAAATACATAGGTGGTAGATACTTTATTTTAGTCTGGCTATATCTTGGAATATTAAATAAGTCTTTCAAAAGGGTACTGGAATTATTTGAACCCATACATCATATCTTCATCTACATTTTGCTTAGAGTTCAGATAACTGTAATAAGATGAGTCAAAGTGTCCAGAAAGCCCAACTTTCCGTATAATATTTATATTTAAAAGAAAGCACGTATTTAGAATAAAATGCCATCACCTTTGTAATCTTTAGGGTAGCACTTCAAGTTTTCAGGCCAATATACTTGGTGTACTTACAGAATTAAATATTTGATTAAATATATGTATTCAAAATACGCTGAAATATCAAGTAACGTAGATGCTATATATTGTGCGCACTTGAAGTGAATTGCCTAAAAAACTCTTCTCTGTACGCTGTTCCTTTCTGTCTTGCATGTGACTAATCAAGGGGAGAAAAACCTAGCAGTCAATTTTTCAGCACACAACGTGTCAGCACAGATAAATACAGGGATCATTGAAGTTTTCTGCTGGTCTGCCTACACCTTAGATCATGAGGTCAAAGAGGATGACTAGCACTGGGAGGAATTCTGTTTCTCCTCGTAAATTAAGAGGCAAGAGAGGAAGAAGTCTTGGCCTGCACATCTACAAGCTAACAAAGTGCAAAGGGAGAAGTATTCAGTGACCCAGGAAGATCCAGTGATTCCCACCCAGGTTTCCGCAGTAACGCATCCATGTGCCATCCTTGCTCATAACCAGCATCGATACAGTAAGTGTGTATACAGGACTACGTTTTGTCATACTTCTGTCTCTTCACTCTACCGAAAAGGTAAGAAACAGTGAATGTGTTTGCAGAGATGCAGAGAAAGATCCTCTGTGCATCTGCTGTTACAAAGCGTGCTGGACGTTCTAGCGGGGCTGGATTTAAAACATGGCGATGCGTCTGCAGCTTTGATTTTCGGTTGCAGTATTTTGTAAATTGTAGATATATTTCTATGCAGGCACTTTTAAAAAAACATAATAGGGGCTATATATTACATTTAGGTGCTTGTTAGAGATCAAAATGAAGTATATGCAGTCGATACCAAAGCAGTAGTGTATTAAATCACAAATAAAACGTACAGCAGTATGTGTAAAGGCATTACCAGAAGTGACACAGATTTTACCTGCAGAGGACTGCCACATTTTAAGAAGTTTCATTCAGAAGTTTCCTTTAGTAGATAATCTTTGATTAGTTACTAACTTTATTCATTAGTTATAACAAGTGTCTAAAGTTTAGAGGGAAAAAAATGACGTAAAGAATTACAAGAATAAACACGGACAAAATTGAAATGTAACAATACCATTCAACTCAGATGTATTCAGAACTTTAAAAAAAATTTCATTATCATTATTTGAGAGACTAACCATGCCCTTTTCTAAAGCTTATACAAAACCATGTCTAAAAATATGGAACACTCTGCAGAAAGGGTCACCCTAATAAAATTTTATAGTAGCATTTTATGTATTGCTAATGGTCCTTATGTAGTATTTTGATATTTTTTAATGCCTTGGAAAATGTAACATTGGACATAACTCTATGGAAGGAAGAAAAAAAAATAAAAATAACCCAGTGACACCATGGTTATTTCCTACGGAAGAGCCAATATCTCAGGTCCTCTTGTAGGGAAGTGTTGGCAAATGATGAAACATTAACCGTACGGCTGTACCTCAGACAGCTGAAAATATGCATATCTGCATTGAATAATAGCTGTACTTAATAGTTGCTATATATCAAAAAATAGCAACATAGCTGATACTGAGCTAAGAAGATGACATAATTCACATCTGATCTAAATCAGACGCAGACAGTGCCACTCAAACATCCTAACATGGGTAAATATTCAGACTTCAAGCATTGCAAGCTCTTAAGCTTATCTATTTTTAATGTGGTGAATTACCACTGGAAAGCTTTACAGACACACTATTTTCAAGAGGAATTTTGATAAAAACAGCGAGCACAAGCAGAGAAGGTGTTTTGTTTTTTTTTTCCAAGTATTATGTAAGAAGGCAAGAGTGGGAAAATAACACCAAAAAGGGGCTTAAACTTATATTCCCTTTTAACTTTATTCGATTTAAGAGTAATTTCATGTAATTTACATTAAAATATTTTCCACACATTCGCCTTCCATTTCTTTAATAAACTGTTTTGCTGTAATTTTCAAACTTCTGTCTAAATGCATTTAGTTCTAAGTAACACTACAAACTGACGCAGGCAA